GAGAAATGTAAATAGGAAGCAGAGAGAAATTAGTACCAAAAAAGCCTCTATCTGAAACAGGGCCTGCATGGTCCCAGGATTTCAGATGGTGTCTGTATTACAAGGTAGAATTTTATAAACTGCTTCTAACACAATTGGTAAAAATGATAGTTTCATTTATACCAAGCAATAAAGCAAAATGACTCAATTTAAACACCCAGGCCTGCAAGGATGCAATAAACCAGAAACCAGACACTGAATTTAAGGCAGTTATTTTGACATGTCTGATGCCTAAATATTTCCACACAAAAGGACCAAAATATTTCCAAAAAATGTTGCTTTCTCATGTTCTGCAGCTTGCCTTTTTTCTCTTTTCAAAGTTTTGCAGAGGTATATGTCCAACCAAATTAATTTTAGATACATTCATGAAAATTAGATTTCAGAGAGATTATTTATGTGATTAAAACATGGCTCCATGGTGGAGTTGTTTGCATTTCATATGTTTTTTGTTTGTTCTGTGAAGTCTATTAGTTCTTGAAAAACAGCAAACTAATAACTTCTTCCGAAGTCCAGCATTATTTTTAGACACTAGATTACATCTATGAATACAAGGAATGTTTCTTCTGCAGAAAAATCCATCCTTTAGACAGACTTCAATGGCTTGAATTTGATTCTTGACATGCTTCCCTTATGATGTTTCGCAAGCAGCTAATATGAGTGTCAGACAGGTTCTCCTCTGAATTTGATCGTTGTTTACTTACAGGCTCACAAAGGAGAAGAGGGCCTAGAATAATTCATCCAGGTTGATTTGCTACATCATATCCTTACGTGAACTATAATTATGATTTTTGTAATTAGCCTGTTTGAATAATGTTGTCCAAATATAGATTATTAGTCTAATTAATTGCTTTGGAAAAAGTTTTATGAACATTTCTGATCAATTAAGAACTATGAGTTCTCACTCATGGATACTCAGAGATAATATTGTTGAATTAACAAATTGATGTGCAGAATGCCCAATTTGCAATAATTGGTCTTTTTGGCTTGGTGTTTTTCACATTAATTTTTGTTCTTTTTTTTTTCTTTTGACAATATGATAGAGCAAACCTAACTCCCGACACTGGTGGAAAGTAAGAAGGGAAGTAATTTTACTGATATTTAATGTATGCTTTCTTCTGGCGAGGAATACAAGGAATAGCTGAAAATTCACTAATTCCAACGGAGTTACGCTTTCTTCTGCAGCATATGAATTTGGCTTATTTTAACAAATGAAGAGGAAGAAAGGTTTTTCAGTTTGCAAGTGTTTCCTTATTTCTTTTTCAATGATCTCCCTGACCTTTGCCGCGGCCTAACAGCGCTCGATCCAGCCTGCCTCTTAGCAAAGGTCACCAGATTTCATAATTCACAGCTGAAGGCAACCACTGAAACACTGAGCTTCAAACCTTATCAAGTCTGTGGATCACAAACAAGAGATACAGAATGAGAATGCTGGTGATTTACATCGTTCATGAAGGTCAATCCATACAAAAAGCAAAACAGAACAGTAAATTACCCAGCAATTTTGAAATAGAAATTCTAGTTAAGCCAAAGTATGGAATCATAGCTATCAAAACTGCAGAATATGGATATGTCCCAAGACATTAGGCATGAATGCACTAAGCATATGATGAATTAAAGAATGCAATATTACTAATATAAAAATAGAAAGTAAATACCAACAAAGCCTGGAGCACATGCTTGAAAGCAGATTCTGCCGATCCTGACATCTTCAAAGTACTCTGAAAGGTCTCCAGAATATTTTCAATAATATCACATTTCAAAACTAAGATTAGCCAAAGTTCATATATCACCTTGACAAATAAGTGAAGATAAGAGAGTCCCCAGAATTCAGAAACAAGTCATTGGTCTAGGACACATGGAAGGGCTTTGCTACTTTACATACATGAGCTGTGTTAAGATTTGAGCCTTGAGGAATTTCTCTGTGATCTTTTGCAACACAATAAACAACAAATACAATATTAAGAAGATAATAAATTTGTGAATCAGGGATTATAAGAATTCACAATATTTTGTCACTAAAAGATACTAGATTTTTTTAAAGTATAATTGAACAAATTGATTCATGAAATCTGTATCTACTGAGAGCCCATAGAAAAAAATATATTATTTACACTCAGGCTGTTCGACTCATTTTGACAACAAACGGGATGAAAGACTTCATAAGAAAAAAGATGCTTGTGAAATGCTAACACCGATATGTATTTTTTCCTTTTATCCATCTGTGCTTTGCTTTCATAAGCTTTTTCAAAGTGGAATACCACAGTATTTCTATTCCTGAAACTGAAATAAGAAATTACTAGGAAAATGAATTTCAGCTGGAATACAGCCAATTACTAGCATCAAAAGTTTCTTTAGAGCTCATGTCACTAAATACAGGGAATGGTCTCTATGAGTGACAACATCATACGAGGCTTGATTTTTAGATGATCAAAAAAGAGAAAATCATAACAAAATTGCAATAAATGATAGCCACTTTTTTCAGTTGTTCTCATCATTATGTATTAGAAAAAAACATGGTCTGATAGAAATTACTATACACTTCCCTACTTTCCTTTTGGGCATCAGTTGTTTTTGTTGTTGTTGTTGTTTGATTAAAAATAAATAAATCCTCTTTGTTAATAGTTTCAAAAGAGAACTAACACTAGCCTTTGCATTCAGTATTATGTAGTAAAGGCCAAGGTTTACTCAGCCATGGCCAACTGATGTGCTGTTGGCTTGTAATCAGACAATAAAAGGAACAGATGGCTTAACTAAATTTAATTTACTATTTTATTTATCCTTATGCTGCCCTGTTATCACACAAATATTGAACATTTATATAATATAGTTAGAAAACAAGACAGTGTTTAGAGCTAGATTATGAGCTAATCTGACACAAAATCATCAGTCTTGAGATGCAACATGAACCACTTCAGAAAGATTCCAGATTGCTTTTTCCTGACGGAGTCTGTGATGGAAACAGCAAAGACAGCCATCAGAAATTGTAGTACTCTGCAAAGCATGCCAGCTCAGTAGTAATTGATGGCAGCAATGCTGTGTTAGTGATTGTTTAGAGAAAAAAAAAATATCTCCAACTGCATGAAAAGGCACAAAGAATCTCTTAAAAGTAAATTCAAGCATTGAAATCTGGCAGTCTTCTATTTCCAAGATGCTTCTCAGAGCTCAACAGGGAATGATGACATCTGCAATTTGTTTGATTACTTCTTGTGATCATTTATTCTTTGGAAGTTCTGGGCTTGATCATCTCCACATTATTGTCTTAGAGTGTTCATAGGACCAGACTATTTTATCTAATATCATAGATCTCATCATCTTAAAATTAAAACTTCTGAAGACTTTGCAGTATTGCTTTGGCACTCTGTCAGAATAACCCCTGCTGTCATCCTTCTTTGGAGACTAGACTCTAAATAAGGTTATTGCCGGGCAAGAGCCTGCAGTGCTACAAATTAGGTCATTAATTGTAAAGTAAGTTCAAACCCTGTGATTTGGTAAACATGGCTTTTGAATAAATAGGCTCAGTGCAATTCTGGAATCTTAGGAACATATTCATCACGGGTTATACGGCTAAGCATAGACTCTTGCATTTGTTTAAAAAATATAGGATGTTCTGTATATAAAGTGATATTTTGTTATATCATTAAGCATAGCCTCCTACATTTATTAATATACAAAGATACAAGATGTTCTGTATATAGGGTTGCTGCAGCTTTGCTAAGCTGATTCCAGAAAAACCTCATAAAAGCCAAGTGCTCTCTGATGCCACCTTAATTCTTAAAACAGTCAACAATTCTATTTTCTCCACTTTGAAACTGTCACTTTTCTGAGAAGAATATACTTATTTTGTAATTTTTTTATTTATTATGTGGTATGCGTATATGCAGATTTCTTGCTCAGAGCCCAAATGCAGTTATTTTGGGGTCGAAGAATATGTTCAAGAGCATCTGTGTCCAAACCCCTGGAATTTGGCCACTCAGGCATAGCAAAGGACAGAACCGAACTCCTAAATTCTGTTCTTCATATATTTATACACTATTATATTTAGGAACCCCCTGTCAAAAACATCAATCACCTCAGGACACAGCATCAACAGACAATTAATGTTACATTTAATGCCAAGAACATATTAACAAAAAGTAAACAGATGGAAGTGCAGCGAGGCAAGTACACTATTGTTGTGTAAATAGTTGAAGCACATGAGAGGCAAATCTGAAAATGTTTTTGTATGACCACATTTCATTTAATCTTCTCTGTATATAATTTAATGTGCATTTAAGCTCCAATCTTTACATGATTTGCTTGGATGATATGCAGGAATCAATGATTTATGTACAACCCCACTATGACAATGAATTTCTGTGCCTTCAGTTCCTTATAAATCTGGCTTACTCAGGACTTTGAATAAAATGACTTGAGTAAAGAACAAGTTCAGTACCTTTCTTTGATGGGAAAAAAAGAGTGATAATTCATACATACCAGCTGCATTTCCTCTCCCTTGTGAGAGTTTGAGCCAGACCACTCAGGACAGTGACAACCTTGTGTCATTGAAATGACCAGTCAAACAGCAACTATACTTGACAGATATCTGCCTTCACATAAGGCAACCATAAACTATTACAAAGCAAAGCTTGTAATCCAGCAACCAAATGATTGCAAAAAATGACAACTGAAATTGTTTTTTTTTCTGTCTGTGAATTTTGATGAACAAAGTAAATTAATTTCACTTTTTGATAAAAAGCATTTATCCAGTTCAGGAAGTAATATTTCTTAACTACCCCTGAGACTTGCAACTGTTTTCACAGGTGTGGAGTAAAAACACATTATAAATAGCACAGAGAAGGTCATCAGTTGATCAGTGGTTTTTTTTTTTTTTTTCTAGTGTATAATCAATAAAGCAGTACAGAACAGATTATAAAAGCAGCCTAGAAGAGCTGAAAGCACTTGATTTTCTTAAAAAAATAATAATGTGGGCGCTTTTGGTTCTCATAGGTACTGCAGCTGTTTCTGCTCAGCTGCAGGATCTTGCCTTTGATGGGTAAGAATAGACATCAAGTTTATATTTATAAATCTCGCTTTGCAAGAACAAAATCCTTTCAATTGACCTGCCTGTTTCAAATTCAATCTTCCTCTCTCCTTTCAGCCAGAAGGTGTTTCGTGTGATTCCACAGAATGAAGAACAGGTGGAAATCATCAGTGCCCTTGCCAGCAGAATGCAGGTAAAGAACTTGGGCAAGGGGCTACACTACATTTGCAAGGAATCTTTCTTCTTTTGTTTCACTAATGCATTTCTCAAAAACAAACAGTTATGCTGCTGAATTACAGCCCCAATCTCGATTTTGTTCAACTCAGCTGGAGTATCTCTCCAGAAGGAACTGGGCAGGGTGATAAGGCCACTCAAACACACTCACTCCAATTCCTTCCTAGAAAGAGCAACTAACTAACTTGGTCTGCATGTCAAAGTGCTTACCAGTTTTTATTAACTAGAGAGAAAAAATCCGAAATGATATATTCAGTAGGGAGTACTTTCAATAACGGATTAGAGGAAACATAGACATTCTGAGTAGCAGCACTTTTTCCATTATAGGCAAAACATTTTGCTCAAGTAAATCCTCTAAAAATCCATGCACTCAGCAAACTGAACTTTTCTCTAGCCTTTAGTCTCGCATGCCATCTTTTCTTCCCTGATGATCCTTTAAAGCTTTTTCTCCCCAGTCAAGCTGCATGTCTCTTAATGGCCTTGATGTAGATATATGATGACACAGTGACATGAGAAAAAACAATAAAGACAGCAAATGTGTTTTCAATATCCTCTTAAGCTTTGATGTTGCAAAATAGCTGTTGGTGAAAAAGACACCATTATCTGTAGGATGAAAGGATAGTATTTTAAATGAATACAGATGTGGAGGACTATTATCAACAGTATAGCATGCTGGAAGAGTATTCTATAGAAAAATATGTTATTGGCATGTTACTGCCTCCTTATCCTAACTCAGAAAATTAACAAACCATGCTTACTTTTACGTGAATACTATAAAGAAATTCAGCTGAAGGACTGTTCATTTTTCTTTTCTTTTAAACAAAGAAAAGGTCTCTAAACAACCATTGTTACACAAAGCAATCCGTCAGGACTGACTTAATAATATATCCTGGAATGGTCGTCTTGCTTGAAAACACATAGTTTGTAGCTATGCCCCCTCATCCTTACATTCATGAGGTGAAAAGCTGAGAAGGCATTAGGTTGGCAAAACAGCTTTACTTTCACCTGTAATATGGACTTTGAACACAGGGGATTTGAAGCTGACTTGAGCAAAAATAGGGGAAATTCTAGCAGTGTTGTCCACTTGTGCACCACCCTCTGAAGGCACAGTTCCCTTAGAGCAACATCAGTGATCAGAGTTGGCTCAGAGTCCTAAACACACTTGCAGAAGCAACAGTCTCTCCTAGTTGATTTATGTACTCCAACATTATGTTGGGAGTCCAGTGTTGTCTAATACCTATAGGCTAAAAACTTCAATCAAACCTGTAAAATGAATGAAAAAGGCTGTAAAAGATAATCAAACCTGTAAAATGAATGAAAAAGACTGTAAAAGATAGGGTTTTTATTATTATTATTATTTTGCGTATCATTCATAAATCCTTATTATTATTATTATTATTTTGCATATCATTCATAAATCTGTATCTGTTTGACATGCTGCAGTCATAGAAAAATATGTACAGGGTATGCAGAGCAGACCTGCTCATTAAGAACGGGTAAAACTGACTATACAGTGTTCAAAACTCCAGTCATCTTTGCATCAAAAAGTCTCTTTCAAATGAACTTCAGAATATTTTTACTGAGAGCTACCTGCAAGTTGATTTAGGCTGATGCCTTTTTTTTCTCTCTCTATTTCAATTTTAAAATGAAAAGGTAACTTTATGTCACACTTGAGATAACAGATTACGATGAAACCATATTTTAAGCAGCGTCCTATTTAAGTAACGGCATGGTACTTAGTATGATCAAGATGTAAAAAAAGAGCAGATTAAAAGAAGGCAATTAAAACATAAAAGAGGCTAATTATCTCAATTGTAAGAAAAGAAACCGCTCGTTGCTTAAACTGGGAATATCAATTTATTATAGTGTATGTAGATATCTGTGCTGCCTGTTTATATTATTATAATCCTGAGGTAATAATTTTATGCTGAGTGCTGAGATACTATGGAGAAAGTATATTTAAATATTTTTTTCTCGGATTAGTAACGTTTATACATGCAAAGTACGCCTTTTTAGACTCAGGAAAACATACACCCTTTATATATGCATTCACTTGCTACTTAAGCCTGCTAGCAGCAGCTCAGAGGTGGATCTCAATATCTGTGCAGCATAAATAGTGCTCTAGTTACGCTCATTCTGGGCCTGCAATTAACTGTGATGCCACAGCTATCATCCTTAAACACATAACCCTTACAAAGAAATCAAGGAAGTGGACTTTTACCTGTCAGAGCATCCCAAGACTGTAAAATGAGCACTGTGCAAGATCAAAGTAGTGTCCATTAAGTAAAATGGAAACTCCAAATCGAGACAGTCCAAAGAAAAAATGAGAGTTAATACTTGGCATTTATGCATTATTCTTTGAGTGGACTTACAAACTTTCTGGATCCTGTCTTCAAGTCACTGTGTGCTGCTCCCTCTTGATGCCTCGGTTCGTTCAAAGCTCATAAGCATGAACTTCAATGCTTTACATTGGGACCTTCATGAAAATGTCCCTGCCATCTCCAGAAACGTGGTTGCAGGGCCTGACCAAGTTTTCTTGAATGATTTCCAATGACACGTTGCACTGATACTTCTGGCAAGCAAGATCAGATCACTGCAATATGACGGGAAATAAATTTGGTATATTAATCGCAATCACACATACATCCACCTAAAAAAATCTCAGTTTTTATATATATATTCATTTGGCCTCTTTCAGGTTGACTTTTGGCAGCCAGACTCTGTCACACAGGTAAAGCCAAAAATGAAGGTTGACTTCCAAGTTGAAGCTGACAAGACTTTTGAAGTTGAAAGTCTTTTGGCACAAAACAAAATGGAGTATAGGTAAGTTTGTTCTCACTGCTGTATTTTAAATAGAAGGAGATTAAATGCTGGGAATCTTTTCACGGTTGATAGTTCATCATCCTGTCACAACCTTCCTGCCTCCTGCAGATGCCTCTTCTGGCATCAGCTTTCCTATGATTTTTCCAAACAGAGGGTAGCTGCTCTGTTTTAAAGGGAGAGGTGAAACATTGATGGTGAGAGGAAACTGGAAGCAAAGACATATTGCCCAGAAATCTTCTCTGAGTGAAAGCCCACTGCAGTATGTTGGGCTGGGACAGAGTGGCACAAGAAACCTTTTCCAGTGAAGATAAAATGCAGCAGAGGACTAGAAAGAGCACTGGAAAGGTTCGCACAGGGAACACTGAGGATTTGAAGCTAGAAAATCTCAAGGGCCAGCATGAGAGACTCCCCACAGAGATCTCTAAGCTGGAAAGCAATAGCTGGAGCAGCAAAAGAAACCAGTGACAAGGAAAAGTCAGCTGCCAGGTGAAGGGAGTGGTGAGATCAGATTCCTAGGACAGCTATGGGCTTACTCAAGTCACACAGCAGCTCCATGGCAGGCGTTTCTCCAGAGAGAAAGCTTTTAATTGCCTTAAATACTCCTTTAGTAGAACCACAGCATAAGCAGAAGGAACAGACCACACTGCCATTACACACATGCCTAACAACAGCAGTGCTGTAGCAAGTAGCACTGATGAGAGAGTACGGAGAAGAGAGGGGGACCAGGCAACAGCTCACCCTTGATATCCTCTAGTAACTGTGCAGCCGTTAATCCTGGATGAACAGTTGACTTTGGGCCAGTGTGGGGAAAGGAGGACTGGCTTTCTTCATTATTTTTTTAACCCCATTGAGCATTACAAATTGGCTTGGTCCAGCTTGATTAGCAGGCTCCTTCCATGTGCAATTGATATTCTTTCAACATCACAATTTCCAAGTCAGTGATAGTTCGTTAGATTGTCACGACTTCATTTGGCAGACAGAGTGGGAAGTTTTTGGCTCTCAGCCCCAGGTTGTTGCCACTAGATCAAACTCCTTTGTCCTACATCATGGAATTGTTATTAGACATAGCTTTTATGATCTACTAAATCTAAAGATAATCTATCTCTAAAATTACCAGTTTAACATTGTGTTAAACATGTCGAATTTGGATCCCACTCAGGGGAGGAAGTCTAGAAACATAGTACAAGAGATTGTTTTCAGCAGAGCCACAGCCCACATAGCGCATGAGACTCCAATTTCAGTGGAATTTCCTTTTTGGCAAAGGAGGAGTTACTCTACATGTGCTAATATTTCCTATAATTTTCAGAAACTCCCTCAGGTCCATGCACAAATCTTTCACTTGCAAAGGCCATAATGTCTGTAAGGTGTCCCTGACAAACTTGAGCAGAGTGTCCTTGTGGCAGCCCCAGTAGTTACAAGGCTTTTGAAGTGTAGCTGCAATGCCTCAACATCATGTCAATGTAGTTGTTTGCACTGTTTGTTCTGAAAGCTGGTAGTGCCTCACAAATTGGCCTCCCGCTCTTACATCCAAATCACAAGTGATCAAGGACGTATCCTGAAGCTAGGAGTAAGTTCTGCAAGAACATTAAGACAAGCACTGGAAAAACAAGAGAACTTCACTTTTTTATAGACAAGGTTGAAATATAAGCAAAACATCCTCTCAAATATGCTTGCCAATGAGCTGTGTCTTTGTTTCAATCTCTGGGAAAGGCTCATGGGAGAGATTAATTCAATGGCACACAGGATATTGCGGTTACTTGCTGTGGTACTTTGCTACTTTAATAGCTCATATCACATCCAATCTGCAACAGAGCTAACAAACCACTCCCAAACTCTGGAAGCTTGGCTTGACAGGGAAGTTTCATCAGGCAAACATCTGCGTGTTGCTCCCCAAGGTTGTTACATTGCTGCAACACAGTTGTCCTTCAGGGCCTCTGGTTCAAGAGAAGGTCCTTTCCCCCTTGCAGACAGAGACACCCCGGCAGCATGAGGTCGGTATGAGGTAAAACAAGGCTGATTTCATATGCAGATCCATCTTTGTACACACATGATCACTTAGCATTGCCGCTCTTTCTAAACCAAACCATCACCATCCTGAAGGTCTGTTAGTATCAAAGTAAGTAGATGCTAGTTCAGAGGAACCTATTGCTCCTTGATCATTCTGGCAACAAGGATGAAGCAAGAAGTAGGTTGAAACTTGAACCTAATACATATTATTTTCAACTGCATAATTCAAATCCTTTACATCTCACTTCACAATCCCTGTGGCCATAATTCTGGAAATGGAGCCCTAAAATATCTACCTTGTGCTTGCTCTTTTGCTAATAAATGCTATGATTCTCTTCACACTTTTTGTGGTGCCTTATTGCAGAGTTTTGATTGACAATCTGCAGACTGCAATGGAAGCTCAATTTGACAGCAAAGTTCGTGCTTCTGGTCACAGCTATGAGAAGTACAATGAATGGGAAACGGTAAGGTCGGAGTTTGCCACCTGTTTGACTCTCTTCTTAGCTTGTGCAACCAAGATGGCTTCTGATATGCTTCCATCCTTCTCTCTTCTTCCTCTGTTTCATCTATTAATATGACTCCTCTAAACTTTTCTTTCTCTTCCATTAGTTTTATGACTCATCATAGGGACATAAAAAAAAAAAGTATGAGATTTTCCCTCTCACATCTTTTCTTCCAAAAATACTCAGTTTTTGTGTTAATCCTTGTTCTACTGACCACCTGATTTTTCAAAAAGAACATTTGCGCTTCTTCTCTTGGTGGTATTTATATATATTTATATAAATCCTACAAGAACTAATCAATTTTCCTTCTCCAGAACTCTTCTAGGAACAAAACAAACAAAACAAACAAACAAACAAACCCCAACAAACTCTCCTTTTTCAAGGCTATATAAAAATAAGGCTATATAAAAACCTCCTTTGATTCTGCCTAATTTATTGGCATGCTTAACCCCACCAACACTGACAATGTTGACCGCTATTTCTATTATTGCCTTGCCAGTCTACCTGCCTCTTTCTGCTGTCTCTTGTCTTTTTTAGATCATAGATCTTTGAGCAGAAAACACTTTGTGTGTATGTAACCACTTTTTGTGAGCTTCCGAAGGCACATGAAGCAAAAGAAAATACCAAGTTCCCATAACAAGACATTAAATGATACTTATACTTCCCTTAATATGCAAACAGGACAATAATTAATTAATTGAAGGAGATTTTTGTCTCTTCTATAATTGGCATTGGCAGCTGATCCTACAAATTCCTTTCCAGTACTTCTGTCAACAGTTCAAGGATGAAGAGAAACCATGAAAATGAAAAACATGACAGCATGTAGAAGATTTAAGGAACACAATCTATTTTACTTAACAAGGAAAACTGTCGTCTTTAAGGGCTGACAAGGTCATCATCTATAAGAACTATACAGGATCAACATTCACTACTGGAAGGCTTTTTTGATTCACCAGCCATACTCCAGTGGCTGAAATTGGATTTAGACAAATTCATATTAGGAAAAATCTTAATTCAGGCAATCGATCGATGGAATAGCTTAATGAGGTCTGTAATGGGGCACTATCACTGAAATAAAATTAAGAGAGGATATATTTCAAATAACATAGTTTTACTACAAGAAGGATTTAATTCTTGGAGGTCTACAAACTGTATTAAATATTGGTAAGGTTTTAGATACGCAGAAGGACCTTCTGACTTAAAGCCTGTGCATTAGTTTTTCTGAACCTGAGAATAGAGACATCTGTAAGTTTAAATTCCGTATTAAACAGATTGCTGCCTGGACTGCTGATATTGCTGCTGAGAACCCAGACCTTGTCTCTCGCAGTGTAATTGGGGAAACATATGAAGGACGGCAACTGTACCTTCTCAAAGTAAGTGTGCCAGACTCTTTTCTCCTACTAACCTCCTTAAGATTTTGATGTTTATTAAATCATCACTAAGGCTAGCATATAATATAAATGTAAACATATAATATAAACTTTGTATAAAATCAAATATATTTTGTGCACTACTTCTACTGTGATTTTTCTCACCTTACAGTTTAAGATATAAATTTAAAAAGAAAAGCACGATGCATTAAGTGCAAGTTTAAGCACATTCCTGTGAGCAGTGTAAATTATCAACTTTTATATTCCCTCCGTGTGTTGTTTGCAAAACTATTTACTCTAAAAGGATAGATGAATGTCAAACTCTCTCACAATTGGCAACATTTTTTTTTTGTATTTTCACCAGATAATTTTTGGCATAACTCTTACGAATAAATGAAATATCATTAATTAAACAAAGATGAAAGGATAAAGAACCTGCACAAATTTACAGAAGCATTTACTATAATTTAGCATTCAACAAAACAGGATCAACAATTAGAGCTATTACTGGAAATATGTAAATAGTACAGAATAATCAATAATCAAACTGCATTATTAAAAAAATATATGTTAGGGTTGGTTTTAGTTGGAACATCATGGTCAGCTACAGCTGACAGCAACCCAAAGTTTTACTCTTTAGGTCAATAGTCTGACCAATAGTCTGTTCTGCAAACAAAATATTTTGTTCAAGACCTTTTTTGTTGTTTTGTTTTTACCTAGGTGGGAAAAAGTGGTACAAACAAGCAGGCCATCTTTATAGATTGTGGTTTCCATGCAAGAGAGTGGATCTCCCCTGCTTTCTGCCAGTGGTTTGTGAAAGAAGTCAGTAAGCTTAATAATGAAAAAATATTTTACAAAACTCAACTATTTTGAAGAGACTCTTAAGTGAGAGTGAAGGGCTGAAGCCACCACAGATTGCTTGCCTTTTTTTTTTTTTTTTTGTTCTCTTAATACATACCTTCACATCCCTTTTCTCACCTCAGATGATCTTAACTGCTGCCCCTTTAATCTGAGAATTTTAAGACTCCTTTAGCTTGTGTAACTAAAAGGGTTATCTATAGATAACACTTAATATATAGATTTCTCGTTGCAGTTGTAGTCAGAGAAAGGCTGGAGACAAGCTAACAGCTCTAGCAACATTATAAATCAAGTCATACTCTTTACAGAATCGTAAGGCATAAAGAATAAGACAATTGAGGGCAATTTCAGGAGGTAATGGATTGTATGCTGGGAAGGCTCCATAGCTTCATGTCCTCTTCTGCCAGCGGTCAGGCTTGCACAGCAAAACAGTTGAGAGGATGGGATCCTACCCGGGAAGCAAAGGCAGGGTGCACTAAGGGAACACATCCAAGAGACAGAAATAGCATCCATTTACATCCCTTTGAGCTGTCACTTTAGGTTGCACAGAACAGTTTCTAAAACTTGGATTGGTATATTTTTAAAAAGACTCATAGGTAGAGAAATTAGCTGGGGCACTTCAGCCTTTGAATGAATCAGTTTTACAAACAGTCTAAAGCTTTGTAAGAATTCCTGCTTGAAGTTTAAAAAAAAAAAAAAAAAAAGAAGCAGCACCTGGCATTTAAAACCTGAGTAAAGGGAAGCTAAAGTACTTGAGTGAGCCACGCTGGCACAGAAACTGGGGGCAAGCGTAATCTCTGTCTTTTCAGACAGCCATGAGGTTTCATGTAAGGAGCAGGGGAAATTGAAAGTGGCATTTCAGTGGAGTCAATGGGGATGTGATTTCATTACCTCCCAATCAAGCTGCAGACAGTATGTGTTATCATTTTTCTCTTAGCAATTCACGTCACCACAGCTGACATTTTCTCTGTCTGGCCGCTTAATTCATGGATGTACCTGACACCAGCAGTGGCTTTGCACAGTGGTTCCAAGCAGGGCTAGGCAGAAGTGCTTTATGAGTAAAGTCCTCTTAGATTCACCTGAAGGTCAGAGAGGACTTCTAGATCTGAAAGTCAAAAAGCAGAAAAATAAGACACCTCCCTTCAAAAACAAACAAACAAACAAAAAAAACAAGCAACTCCCCCCTTCGCTTCTAGTGTTCAAAACCCACTTTTTGCACCATCACATTACTTAATAACTGATCCAGACCCAGGCCTCTTGATACACAGAGTAGCTATTTTGTTTTGGTTCTATGCAGGTGTCACCTCTGTCTTCTTCTTTCCAACTAGGCCGTTGAGACCTATGGAAAAGATAGTGTCTTGACCAACCTTCTTGACAGGTTGGACTTCTACATCCTGCCTGTTCTAAATATTGATGGCTATGTTTACACTTGGACAACCGTAAGTATATTTTTATTTCTCAAAAGTATTGCTGACCTAATAAACTGCTAGAACTGTCTCTTGATTTTGATACGCACTTAACCATTCTATTTCAGAACCGCATGTGGAGAAAGACACGCTCTAAAAATGCTGGCAGCTCCTGCATTGGTACTGATCTCAACAGGAACTTCGATGCTGGATGGTGCAGTAAGTGTCTCCTAACAGAAGGTGTAAACTTCCACTCAGAGGTACAACAGTCAGGATACTTACATATGGACTTTCACTGCATATGGTCTCTCTCAAGCTCCAGTATAGTGTTATGGAGAAGCTTATCTTCGATTTTGGGCAAAAATCAGACTTGGTTACAAGGGTCATTAGTAAAATTATTTCTCCAAACACTGCTTTATTTTGATTGGTTTCAGTCCTTGGGAGAGGGGTTTCTCTTAACTGCTTCCAGCTGGCTGGTTCCTGGGAACATCCTAGAAATGGGGAAAACTCACAAGGAAAGGATTGTTCAAGTGCTCAAGTGCTTGGCTCATATGCCAAGTGACTTAGATAATAGAGGAATTTACATCAATAGTCATGTCCTTCCAGGTATGCCTGCAGTACAGGAAATATTTCTTGAACACTACCCAGCATCTTAACTATCCAATAAAATATTCTCTCCCCAAAAATGGCATGTGTGCCATCTTTTGCATAATTTGGTAGACTTTTCAAGGCTTAGCCATGAATTTGGTATACCATCACCACACTCCCAAAAAACAGTTCTTGTCTCATTAAATATGCATTAAATTCATCCATTTTTTTTCCCCCCTCCAGCTATTGGGGCCTCATATAACCCTTGTGCTTCTACCTACTGTGGCAGTGCACCTGAGTCTGAAAAAGAGACCAAGGCCTTGGCTGATTTTATTCGTGAACATCTTTCTTCCATCAAGGCATACTTCACTATTCACTCCTATTCCCAGCTGCTTCTGTTTCCTTATTCATATACTTACCAATACCCATCGAATTTTCAGGAACTGGTAAGTAGAAGCTCTTTGTCGTTTTGATATAATGAAAAGAACAAGTAAAAATCATCACTTGCTCTTTAGGTCAGTATAACTTGATGCAATTTTTTGCACATCTGGAAAAAATGTGTATTGCCAGTTATTGGAAATACTTTAGATTTTTCACAGCAAGAGAATCCCTTAAAGCTTCAAGATATTTCAAGTATAGGATAAACTCAAGAGCCTTCTTCAATTTCTACACACAGAATGAATTTGCCCTAAGGACAGGCTTAGCTATACAGAAAGCTACTGCTCTACTGTACTGCTCCTTCCCAATTCAAGAGGTTGTTGTGTATGGGGCTCCAATACATTACACAGATATATTATGCTTTAAGTCAGAATCACAGCTTGATAGGTAACAACTATGCAGAAAGGATCAAATTAGTATCAAAAACACATAATAATCTCTGCCTAACAGTTCCTATTGCACCTTAGCTCAGTAAAAAGGTGCAACTCCTACTGAACAGAATGATGCTGTTTGAGGCAGTTTTTGTCAAAAGTAAGATGAACCAGCTAGATACACACAACAGATGGAGAAAGTTTCAGTTCTGAGGCCTTTCCAGAAAAGCTTACATGTAAATACATGCAAAAGGGAAGCATGAACTTGTTGCTTTAAATAACAATAACTTTCCTATCCATTCAAGCTGAATGCCATAACTTAAAGCCACTAAGAAAGAAAGGCAGTTTGGTATTTGATTTCTTTTTTATTTAAATCCTTCAAAACAGAAGTTAAGAATTATTGAATGTGTGTAAAAGTTGTAAACATTTTATAAGGCCAAAAATCAACAATCATAAATAATAAAATGACTTCAGTTCTCTGGCATATTAGCAATTAGGAGCTGTTGGCAAGGAAAACAACACAACAAAACAAATCTTAGTTCTCTCTGTTTCCTGGATTCTGCCAGAAGTCCAAGACAACAACACTCAGTTTGCTGTGGAGGTTTGACAGATTTATGAGCGCTCCCAAATAAATGTCATGATTCTGAAGCATAAATGCAAATTGGGGCCAACAATCATAGAATCATAGAATGGTTAAGGTTGGAAGGGACCTCTAGAGGTCATCTAGTCCAACCCCCCTGCATAGGCAGGGCCACCTAGAGCACGGGCAATGAAGTTTCTTGTTACATTTTTCTGCAGTTTGAAAGAGAGAATGAAATTTTGTTTTCTTAATTTATATGTTCCAGAAAATTTTAACTGTAATGATTTCAGGGAACTGTAGCAATTTTCTGTCTTCAGTTTTTATGAAAGCTTCATATTTCACACACTAGTTCAATCTAAAGTAATAAGCAACTATTGAGCAGCTTCATTGTTAAAATCAAAAAAATTCCCCTGTTTGATACTCGCATGACTTTCTGCCCAATTTTCTGAATCAAGAATAAATGTGGTGAAACATAACAAAAAGGACAGCAATATTAAATAGGAAAAAGTATATACTGAAAGCTTGTACATATAAACATATAATGACAGTATTAAAGACAGTAATACAGTAAATATACGCTTACATGTTTTTGAATTTTGATTAAACTAAAATTATCCATTAGCAATTTTCTGTTTCAAAAATAGTAAAAAGTAAATAATCATCCAATTCTGCAATTTTTACCAATAACAAGCTCTCTTTTCTTAGCATAGAGCATAAGTCTCCCATTACCCCTCAATCTAAAAAAAAAATTAGTAGGTCAAGAATACAAGCTATACAAGCCTCTTCAATCATTTGATTTTACTTCATGTGAGTTAATCTTTCCATTGTCACTTTACCTCATATTTTAAACCTGGTACAATGATTCCAAAGAGAGTCCTATCATTTTCTACTGCAAAGCAATCACTGATCTCACCACCAGTGAAAGGTGACCTGATGAGAATACTCATGTCCTAATTGAAGGAAAATATTCCCTCTAAACATTCCCTCTTTTGGTGATCCCAACAAAAAGACAGCAGGATCTCAAAGATACTTGATTTCTGCAGTACCTGATTTTAACAAGGGGAGAATTTTTGCCAAAGATTCTTCTTTTGGAGAGCAAGATCACAGTATCATCCAATCAACATTGCCTGTAGTTGGGATAATTAAGCTAAAAGGACTCAATCTAAGCCTCAGTGAATTAAATAGAAAGACTGACTTCACTGGCCTCTGGGTCAAGTTCAAGTGCAGCTTTTTAGGTTACTTCAAATAACTAAGACATTCATTTGAGCTGTGACTACAGAAATTTGAGATTTTCCATTAGCAGTTGTATTTAAAATGAGACAGCTGAAAAGGCAGCATTATATTGTGGGCCAATGACTGTCCTTCTCAGAACTTTAAAACATGAATTTAAAGAAATGCCGGTGAGTTGGAGTCTCAATCATGAAAGAAATTGTTTTGACAAATAAAAGGATTTAAAATCACTCTGTAAATTAAGAAGCAAAATTTATAGTGCCACTATCTTATCTTAGAGGTTATTTTTACTTTGACAGATCTAATAAATTAAAGGAAATATAGTTGTGATTTCTTATCTTAGTGAGCAATTGGACATGTGGTTAAACAAAACTTTATAAGTTTGCTTATCATTAACAACATATTGTTCCACTGTATTTAATTAAGGTAAAGCAATACCATAGAGCTAATGTTGAATTCCAGTGTCTGAGACACAGAAGGGCAAAAAAATTGAGTAATTTGAGATTGAAAATATTTAATTTATCAAGAGGGAAAG